GGGGGGGGCGGCTTGTTTTACAACGTCGTTGCCAAGCGACGAAAACCCAACCCCGATGGCAAACACCGGGGGGGTCGTCGAGGGTGTGTGAATAAAGTCTTAACAGTGAATAGGGGGAAAATCCGCTGGATGCTTGGCTTGTCCCTGAGTCTTTTTCGGCCTATAGAGTTTTGGAACTTTAGGTCAGGCTCGCGCCCTGCGGCCTCGCAGCGGCCGCTCACAGCGAATTGGCGGAATGAGACCTACTCTCAAATCGACACGATGACTCAAGAGCGCGGCTGGCGCCGCAGCGGGCGCCGTTCGGCCTCCCTGTTTGCGGAGCCCGCGGGAGGCCGTCTCTCCGCCAATACCCCGCCGCCGCCGCGTCCTCCGGGCGCGGAGCGCCTGCCGAGCTGCCTGCGACGTCGAAACCGCTCCAAACGACGCGTTCGCACCTGCATCTGCCCCTCTGACCGCTTCGCCCGGGACTGTGAGAAAACGCCTTCTTGTGATTTGGCCGACACAATATCTTCCTCTAGTCGTCCGTTGTCCTTTCGTTTTCTCTTCGTGTTTTTGAGAACTTAGAAACGATGTGCAGGTAACATATACATCCTCATGTGCCTAGCTTTCGTGCACTTCGGCGATGGAGCATGAATGTGCAGCGTGGACTGTCAACCGTCGACCGCCACTGTACCGCTCTAACGCCATGTGTGCGTGTGGGCAAGCAGGCAAACATCTCTTCCGAAAATGAGAAGACGGCAGCTTGCGGCATTCTGACAAAAGAAATAGCTCTCTGAACGCGTCTCTCTCATGTTCTGCTGGATCTCTCTACTGCGTGTGTGTGTGTGTGTGTGCAAAATAAATGCTGTTGCTGTAGCCTCACAGCTGTTGCTATGGTACAAGCCACACTTACACACAGACAGGTTCACACAAATATATTCAACTTTTTCAGTTTCAGAATAGTGTGTAAGGAGCATGATGACGCACGCTTCTCCCGATTTCGAACCTGCATCTATCGTTCTTTTCTGCTGTACACGCCCACCCCATGAACCACCGTCCTACTTGGTACAGCACTGCGTTTGAAGCCTGCAACCGCTACCTCACATTAAATACCTCAGGCAGGAACCGCAGGAGGGGGTCCAGCCCCCCCCCTCCTATGCGACCCCGGTTGGGTCGTCTAGCTTGTAGAAGTGGAGGATAGGGGCCAGAGGGGCAGACGACAGAGTCCAATGATGGGAGAAAAAAAGAAAAAAACGTTTCGAATGCACATCCACTCTCAAACGGAGGACGGGGGGCGATGGTATCCCCCCGCGTCCGCCGCCCTTGTACGCTGAATTTTACCAGTGACACCGGCTGGTGCTAAGCACAAAATCATCCCTCGACTGGGCCATCGACAAAAATATTGGGGAGAAGCCTTCCGATATGGACTTTGCGTACACAGAGTAGAACACCAACTTCAGCCCTCTGCCTTCCACCAAAAAAAAATCAATGAAATCGATTTTTCAGGTCTAGAGCCGGGCCCTTCGACATGGTGTTCGCAGTGGGCCCGCTCACCTCGCCGGACAGCGGGTGCGGAGACGAGGCGGCACTGTCCCCTGTCCTCGCCGGCGAAACGCCTCCCGCGGTACCCGTCTACTTTTTCGAGGCCGGGGGGTCGGAAAGTTTGTCCGCCAAGCTTGAGGAACACCCATGTGAGTTTTTCTTGATTGTTATGTTGTCACGCTTTTTGACTTGATAGGTTTCGAGAATATCCTCGACACGGCTCGGGCGAACTGCTGTGCTTTTCAGAAGTAGTTTTCTTCCAAAGACGCGATGAATTTAGTATGCAAACATTTTTGTTTTTTGTTCGTTATTCTGTGGTTCTTGGGGAGGGGGCTGGAAGACAAGTGAGAATATGAGTCGACACGTCTTGCCGAAGAACGCAAAGAAGGAACTTGTGCAAAAAAATCTTCTGCCACTACTGCTGTGAACCGCCTCGCGGCTGGCTCGTGTATGATCTGCTGACTCTTGTTTCCTTAAAAAAAAAAGTGTGCGAAATCACCCTCGCTCCCTGTCCCTCTAATCCCCCCCCCCCCCCCCCCCCCCCCCCCCCCCCCCCCCCCCCCCCCCCCCCCCCCCCCCCCCCCCCCCCCCCCCCC